GCAGAGCCAGGTGGATCTCTGCAAGTTTGAGGCCAGCCTGGTCTACAGAGCGAGATCCAGGACAGGCACCAAAACTACACAGAGAAACCCTGTCTTGAAAAACCAAAAAAAAAAAAAAAAAGTCAAGTCACATTTTTAAGGCCAGCTAGATGACTCAGCAGGTAAGGGCACAGGCCACTGGCCCAATGACCCTAGTTCAGCTCCTCATATCCCCGTGTGCAAGGAGAGAATTGGTCCCTACAAGTTTTCAGGTTACCCCCTCACTCAAAAACAAGGTAAGCAGGTCTCACCAGGGGTCAGTGGGGGCCCTGGTGGAACGTGGTGTCCTGAACAGAACAAGTGAGCAAGGCCCCACACCCTCACAATCCGCAAGACTGGTTTGGGGAGGTGGGGGAGGGGGCGTCCAGGTGTTGAGGTCAAGAAGAGAAGGGACCAGGGCCTGGAGGGATGGAGTGAGGGCTTAAGGCACCTAGACAGAGTATGGATGCTGTCACCTACACAGAAGGATGCCATTTCGCTGGGAAGGCCCTGGCTTTTGGACAGCACTGGAATCCAAGGCCAGAAAACATGGAGGCCTGGACTGAGGAGGGCGTAGGTTATGGGACAAGGAGAAATAGGACATGAAAGCTGCCTGTGTCCTCACCCAGACTCAACAAGACACATCTGCTTGGAATGTCCCCCCACCCCGCAGCTTCAGCTGGAAAAGTCATTCTTTTCACATGCCCAACATCACCCCTCAGAAATGCCCCTTGACTAGCACCTCCAGGCATCCCTCAGCACCACCCACATGACTGGGTCTCTGGGATGATCACATGTTTGTAACATGGCTTCCGTGTTCCCCTAAGGGTCAAAGGTGACTTCTTGGTTTGCTTTTTTACTGTGGAGAGGAAGTTGTGCTAGGGTCAGGTTCCTGTACAGACATAAAGAAAGGGAAGCCTGTGCTAATGGAGACCTTAGCTCTCACCGTGGACTAAGGGTAGGGACCCCGCCCCCACGTTCATGTCATTGACTCTGCTTGGAGACTCAGCAGCATTGCCCTGAGGCCAGAGCTCATTCCAGCCCAGACTTCCGGCTACCGCGGTCAGGTAGCTCCTGACAGCAAGGGCGGAGCAGCTGTGTCTTCCCCCAGAAGTCACTCTTCCACTAGAAGCTTCTAGATAGGTGTAGAAATTCCCAAGGAATGAGACCCAAGGGTTTCCAGACCGGCTCATTCCAGCCCAGCACCTCATGCCTGGGGAGGGCCAGCCAGGAGCAGCTGCTCGTAGGAGGGGGAAGAGAGGCAGCTGTCCCCCCAAGCTGTCCCCCAACTCCCTGGGCCCTTTCAGCCACACTGAGAACTCTAGATCCAGCAGGGCTGAGAAGGAGGTGGGGCTGAGAACTGAAAGCTGGTGGAAATTTCCATGACTGTTCTAACTATTCCTAGCCTTCAGCTGAGGACTAGGTGTCAACAGAGACGCAGGCTAGACAGCCCAGGTCACAAAGGTCAGCCTTCCTCAGGTCATTTCATCTTCCTTACCTAGCACCCCACCCTGGAGACGGGGCCAAACCCTCCCTCAGCTGTGCCTTCTTAGGGCTCCTCCACCCAGCTCCACTCTCTCTCAGAGTGTGGTTACAGTGGTGACATGTCCGTTCTGCTCTCCCCAACCGTGGGAGCCCCCCGACAGTGCAGCCATCCCCACCAAGTTCATCTTGAGCTATGACCTGTGTTTTGTTTTGTTTTATATCACTGCTTGTTACCTAACAGATAAAAATACTCCTGTCTCCCTGGAGTCAGGTCTCAGCTTGATGAGGTAATTCTGCACGAGGCTCCTGTGACATCCACACAGCCACTGCTGGCCTTGACTTGATGCTGGGGACTTGCAAAGACTCCTGTAGGTTCTAGCCAGCACCCACAGATTTCCCTAGTGCAAGCCAGCACCGTAGCCCACAGAAGTCAGACAGGAATGTTTATCGACAGCATTAATCCAGTGTGGCCAGTTCTTCAGGCAGAATGGTGGGTACTGAGCCCTAGATTGGCCTGGGGACTTGGGTGCCTTGGAGGCAGTAGGAGGATCAACTCTTTCTTCTACTCAGCCTGAATGTCACCGTCCGCCACACTTGTACTTTTCCATTTGTCCATCCTATCCTGGTTGTCACAGGGGGTTCCATGCAGTCCCCCCAGAGTCCCACACACATGACCCCAGGCTGGTTGTTTATTCCTCACCAAAATGGGGTGAAGGTCTGAGGCTGTGAGCTGCTTAGTGCAGACCCTGGCTCAAGAGATGTGCTCCTGTGAGTGGTGGCTGTCACTACTGTCTCCTGCCACCTGCCCACCCACTCGCAGCCCTAAGCAGTGTGGGGCACCCTGCTGATTACAGCAGACACCAGGCCCTCCTAGGTCCCCAGAGCTGACTGGAGCCAGGCGCACCTCAAGAAAGGGTTAAACATTTCAAGTTACTTTATTTGTCTTGAAGCAGGAGGTGGCTGAGATGTAAGGCGAAAATTCAGGCTAGATTCTGGGTGGAATTTTCCTGAGTTCGCAAACAGGACCAGTTAGGGTTGCTAAGGGAGAACTCCATGGAAACAGTCACGTGTGCCTGACATCTGATTAGTCCAGCCTGGTTCAGGGACCGTTACAGAGGCTGCTGCCTCTTTCATTGGCTGTCACTGCTCTCGCCACCAAGAGCTGACCGAAGATTGGTCCAGGGCTGCTGGAAGCTGTTATTCTGAGCCGAAGAAGAAATAGCTATGCTGTCAGAGATATTGCCATAGCAACTGCTTTCCTTTCTGACCCCCTTGGGAGTTGGGAGTTGCCTTCTTTGATGTTGAAGTACTTTTCCTAGCCTGAAGACTCTGACTAGTTTCCACTGGTCTGCCATAACCTCAAAGGCTAACTTTTCCACCTTCCACAGTAGATAAGAAAAGCCTTAGTTTGATTACCTACACACCTCTTGGGAGCTTTGGTATCTTTCTGCCAAAAGAGATAGTCATTCCAAGACTCACATCCTTTTAGGACTGATGGTCTACGTAGACCAAGCTTACAAACCCAAGTCTGCCAGTTTATAAACGGTAAGGCTTGTTCTTCAGCAAACAGCTTTGGTGTTAGGTTAAGGCAGAATGGCCCTGGAGGTGGAGGTGGGAGTAACTGACATTTTCAACAAAGTGCAGAGCCCTACGATCTGGGAGCACTTTAGGAGTCTCTGCCACCAAATGCTCCTGGGACAATCAACAGCCTCCACAGCCAGCTGGGGGTTCATTGTTTTCCTGGGCTAAATGATTCCTCTTTAGATATCTTCAGAAGGCCATTCCAGCTGACATTCCATAGTTCTAACCAAGGCTGGGTGTGGTGGTGGACATCTGTAGTCCTAGATGCAGAGAGCAAGCAGGAGGCTCACCGAGAGTTAGAGGGCACCCTCTTCCGACTCTCAAATAACAGGCCAGGCATGGGGGTGCACACTTTTAACCCTAGCACTCAGAAGGCACAGGCAGGCAGGTTTCTGAGTTTAACAGCAGCCTAGTTTACATAGCAAGTTCCAGGACGTAGAGAAACCCTGTCTCAAAGAACAAAACAAATCGCATTCAGATCTTCAGTTAGTAGGTTGATTGAACAACTGATTGATTTTTATTGTTTTGGGTTTTTGACACAGGGTTTCTCTGTGTAGTTGTAGCTGTCCTGGAAGTCACTCTGCAGACCAAGGTGGCCTTGAACTCAGAGATTAACCTATTTCTGCTTCCTGATGGCTGGGATTAAGGCATGTACCTCCAGGCCCAGACCCAGCATGACTGCATAGAGAGTTTCAGGCTGGTCAAGGTTACATAGTGAGACCCTGTCTTAAAACAAAAACAAACAAACAAAAAACCCAATAAATAAATAAATGCAGTCTGGTATGGCATCAAGCCTTAGTAGGTATCTTTCTAGGCACCAGTGGAAGTTAAAATAAAAAACTTCACAGGTGGGGTCACGGTGGTGAAAACGCTGTTCAGAGCAGGCCTTGGGGTAAGCTCCACCGTCCAGTCTCACCACTGTGCCTCAAGAAATCGCTGTTCCCCTCTTGGCCTCAGTTCCCCCCTCAATAGAAGAGGTTAACACAGGTCTCCAAATGGGATGACGTCAGCATTTACTTCAAACTAGGGCCTTCCCAGAAAAACCGGAGACTCTGTAGGCTGAACCCTCTTATCCTATAAGAAACTAGCCCTGAGCCAAGCGCCAGCCTAGCCAAGGCCCAGACAAGTGCATTTCAGTTAGTGGGGCCTATACCAGCTTTGATCACAGCTTTTCAAAAGGAAGACTTGGGAAGAGCTGTGGAAACCGGGGCCACAGCCCAGGACCAGCCTATGGGAACGTGAGCAAATGAAGCAATCGAAGACTGTCCCTGTTCCAAACAGACTAAGCTCTCTTGCTTGTGTGGAGTCAGAAATTCTGTGTGTGTGTGTGTGTGTGTGTGTGTGTGTGTGTGTGTGTGTGTGTGTATGTTTTGTAACCCTGACTGATCTGGAACTGATATGTAGACCAGGTTGACCTTGAACTCTCAGAGATCTACCTGCCTCTGCTTCCTAAATGCTGGGATTAAAGTTAAATGTCATTAGCAGGGAGTGGTGGCGCACACCTTTAGTCCCAGCACTCGGGAGGCGGAGGCAGGCGGATCTCTGTGAGCTGGAGGCCAGCCTGGTCTACAAAGCAAGTTCCAGGATAGCTAAGGCTACACAGAGAAACCCTGTCTCAAAAAAAAAAAAAGAAGCCTGGCTTTGTTTATTTTATTTTTTTTTTAAATTCGTGTACATGTGTATAGTGGGAACATAACCTGGATGTTTGTTTGTTTGTTTTTCGAGACAGGGTTTCTCTGTGTAGTTTTGCACCTTTCCTGGAACTCACTCTGTAGCCCGGGCTGGCCTGGAACTCTCAGAGATCTGCCTGCCTCTGCCTCCCAAGTGCTGGGATTAAAGGCGTGTGCCACTACCCAGCAAGAACCTGGATTCTTAACCACTGAATCATGTATTCAGCCACAACAACTTATTTTTTTTTTTTAAGCTGGGGATCGAACCCAGGGCCTTGCGCTTGTTAGGCAAGCGCTCTACCACTGAGCTAAATCCCCAACCCACAACGTATGTTTTTAAAGATTTATTTGTATTATTTTTAGTAGTGTGGTGGTGGTGTACGTGTGTAGGTAGGTGCACATGAATGCCAGTGCCCACAGAGGTCGAACACATTGTTGGATAGCTCTGAAGCCAGAGTTACTGATGCCTGTGAATTGCCTGATGTTGGTGCTGGGAACTGAACTTGAGTCCCCTGCAAGAACAGTACTAGCTCTTAAACACTGAGCCATCTCACCAGTTCCCAACGATATTCTTTTAACATGAATCTTCAAATACATTATTAGTCAAAAGCGCTGATAGAAATGCTGTCTCGTCAGAGTGGGAACAGCACCCACTCAGCTCTCAGACTGACTGATGCCTCTGTCTGGGATCTCGCTGAAGAACTGGGTTGTCTGACCCTGGAATTTTCCACATTACAGAATATCTTGCTGATACACGCTCCTTCTGTGCCTCTTGTAAACAAGTGATTGTAGCAGGAACTTGGATCTTATTCAAGTACCCTTCTTTGAACAGTTAATATCTTAAAGCCAGGCCTGGCAGGTCATGCTTGCAGTCCCAGCACTCAGGAGACTGAGGCTGGAGGATCAGGAGTTCAAGGTCATCCTCAGCTACGTAACCAGTTCTAGGTTAGCCTGGGCTATAGAAGACCCTTTCTCAGACACACAAAAACCTCCTTAAAAATAGAAATAATAGACCCAGGCTGGACATGGAGTGTGAGCCTTTAATCCCAGCACTTGAGAAGCAGATGTGAGTGAATCACAGTGAGTTCCAGGCCAGTCTGGTCTACAGAGTGAGTTCCAGGCCAGCCAAGGCTACCATAATGAGAACTTCTCTCAAAAATAAATAAATAAATACAAATGATGGGGTTTAACTCAGCTCTGCTTACTTAGCATAGGTGAAGAGGTGTTCACACCCTGTAATTGCCAAATCAATAAAGCAGTCACCAGCCCTGTAAACCAAAAGCCACGACCACACCCTCCTGAGGGCCCCATGCCGTCTTCCTCCAGCTGAGGAGGCACATCGGGCAGCAGCTGCACAGCCCTGAGTCACGCTCCGCACTGACTCATCCCCTGGCTTCCTGCTCTGTGCTGATCTGCTGACGTCAACAAGCTCCAGGCTTCCTTAGGAAAGCCGCCGCAGGGATGGACAGCCATGGCACCCCTATGAGAAGACATGCTCCAGGGTTTCTAACTCAAACCTGCCAGAACAAAGCTGCCTCCGTGATACTGGGATGCTTTTTCCTTAAAGATGGGGAGAGGCAAGCCTCAGGCCTGCTTTCTCTGCCTGCTCATGTTTATATGTACCATATGCGTGCAATGCCTGAGAAAGCCAGAAGCAAGTATTTAAAAGTAGGTTCATTAATCTACCCTTTCATCTTATCATATCTATACTGGGTCTCTATGGTTGGTACTAGAATTAAAGGCTGTGTCACCACGCTTGGCTGTGACCTTGACCACACAGAGACTCTGCCTGCCATGTGATCAGATGAAGGGCATGTGCTACCACTGCCAGACTCCTCTTCATGGCTATGTGACCTCACTATGTGACCACTGATCTCCAGGCAAGCTTATTTATTTATTTATTTATTTATTTATTTATTTATTTATTTATTTATTTATTTATATTTGTTGTTTTTAGAGACAGAGTTTCTCTGTGTAGCTTTGCGCCTTTCCTGGAACTCGCTTTGTAGACCAGGCTGGCCTTGGACTCACAGAGATCCGCCTGCCCTTGCCTCCCAAGTGCTGGGATTTAAGGCATGCGCCGCCGCTGCTGCTGCTGCTGCTGCTGCTGCTGCCGCCGCCGCCACCACCACCACCACCCGGCCAAACTTTATTTATTAACATACAAATAAAATCACACTTCAGCACAATTAAAATATCACCGCACAGGTATCCTTTGGAACTGATGTTATAGATGCTTGTGAACCACCATCTGGTGCTGAGAACAGAACCCAGATCCTCTGCAAGAGCAAGAACTGCTCTTCCCCGCTGAGCGTCTCTGCAGCCCTGAATCAGCTCTTTGTGTGGGTCAGATGAACGCGGGCAGAGCTTCATGGCTCTAACATGGCTGCTAACACTAGGGCAGGGGAAGCCGAGGCTGCTGCTTCCCTGGAGCTTGGACTCTCACAGAGGAGCCAAACAGCAGTCCCCAAAGAGGACTGGGGAGAATAAGGGTGCTTTCCTCCAGGTCTAAGAGTCTGGATTCAATTCCCAGGCCCCACATGGTAGAAAGAGAAAATGGATCCTTCCAAGTTGTCCTAGGACTGACTTGCTCCACGCATGTGCCGTAGTCCAGAAAGCCAGACGGAGCAAAGCCTTAAGCCTTTCCCAAGGCAACAAGTGACGCCTTGGAGAGGAAGCCAGCTAAAAAGGGTGTGCCCTTCCACCACTAGGAACCGCACTGCGGAGGAGCAGAGGGGCCTCGAGCGCCCCTATCGGGCAGCCTGGGAAGGGTTCGCAAAGGATCCGGGAGGAGCGGATCATTGGCAGCAAACAGCGAATCCCAAGGAGAGCCCCCTGCTCTGGACAAGAAATAACACGGGACGGGGCTGGAGAGATGGCTCAACGGTTGAGAGCACTGGCTGTCCTCCAGAGGACCCGGGTTCAATTCCCAGCACCCAGCATGCCAGCTCACAGCTACCTATAACTCCAGTTACAGCCTAACTCCCAATTCCAAATTCAACTCCCTCACACAGACATGCATACAAGCAAAACACCAATACATGTAAAAATAGGTATTTTTTTAAAAGAAAGATATTGAGAGAGAGAGAGAGAGAGAGAGAGAGAGAGAGAGAGAGAGAGAGAGCTGGACGTGGAGGGAGAGCTGGGAGCCGGCTGGAGGCACTGAGACCCCACTTAAAGCACCATAAGGGTGCAGGACGGGTGCTGTCTGGGAGGCAGAGCAGAGAGGCTCAGCAGTCACACCTAACCTGTAGTTCAGTGGTCACACGTGTCCCAGGATAACTACAAATGCAGCAAAACACAACTGTAGCTGACAGCCTCATGTCACAGCATCTAAAGGTTGGACACCACCGCCTGAGTTACTCTCAAGCTGAGCCTTGAATCCCATTTCCATGGGAAACCACTCTCCCGCCAACCACTCCTGGCTGCTCTGGGCTTGGAGACACCTCTGGGCATCTGTTTTCTCCAGTGCATGGTCTGGGGACCCCAGGGTCACTCCTTCTAGAGTCCCTTTCTGCACTGAGGTCTCCCCTCCCCAGCCTGGGACTCTGTGCGGCAAAGGCAGAAGGCTGCCCGCTGGTAGAACTAAGAGCCTCCTGCTCCCCCTGCGCTGAGAGAGACCGGGAAGACTGGCCCTGTCACCTGCTGGATCTCAACAGGATCCGATCGCGGCTGACAGTCAGGGGAAGCAGTGCTGTGAAGAAGCCTGTGAAGGCTGGACCCGTGTGGCGGTGAACACTCGGGAGGCAGAGGCAGGTCTCTATGAGTTCGAGCCCAGTCCGGTCTACAGAGTGAGTTCCAGGCCAGCCAGGGCTACACAGTGATATAAGAGTGTCTCAAAAAAACAAACAAACGGGGCTGGAGAGATGGCTCAGAGGTTAAGAGCACTGCTTGTTCTTCCAAAGGTCCTGAGTTCAATTCCCAGCAGCCACATGGTGGCTCACAACCATCTGTAATGAGATCTGGTGCCCTCTTCTGACCAGCAGGGATATGTGCAGACAGAACACTGTATACACAATAAATAAATCTAAAAAAAAAAAAAAAAGTAAGAAAGAAAAAAGAATCCTGTGAAGATGACATTCCTGGGGACTCAGGGAAAAGAAACAGGATCTCCTTCCCATCCTCATCCATTAATCCTCCATGGCTCAGCTCCTGCTGACATTATTCCTCTGCTCCTTCCCTGGAAAGCCCTCCTCCCCAGGTGAAGTCCACCCAGGTGAAGTCCACTTCCCCAGGTAACATGCTCCTCCCTAGGTGACACGCTCCATCCTAGGTGACGCCCTCTCCCCCAGCCTTGGGCCTCCTAATTCTGTCTCCACTGTACCCACTACTCTTTTCCTTGAGCCTCACACTGCCTCCAGGACGCCTCCACAAGACAACGTACGTCCTGCTCCTTCCATGGCCTTCTGAATAAACTCAGGACTCCCTTGGGCTCCCCAGGCCTTTAAGGATCGGCTGTCCTCTCGGCTCTTCTCTGCTGCCCTAGCCTAGAGCGGCCTGAGAAGGCCTTGACCATGTGACTCTATCTGTCCTTAAGAAGGATGTCCCAGCTCGTCCTTCAAGGTGTGGCGATAAGGGCACCGCCACCCACTCCCCAACCTTAGGGAGATCTGGCTTGATCTGCTGGAAGATGAGGCTCCTGTGTGAAGGGCCCAGGGTATGTCCAAGTGAACACCACTGCCACCAGCGATGTGGCCAGCCTAGAACTGACCAGGAACTCGGAGAGCCCAAGATACCAAGAGTAATCAGAAAGGGCAGAAAAGCGTTAGAGATTAAATATTTCTTCACTAAGTGAAATATCACAACCAAAATATGAAAATACAGAACCAGGCATGGCCGGGCGGTGGTGGCGCACGCCTTTAATCCCAGCACTCGGGAGGCAGAGGCAGATGGATCTCTGTGAGTTCAAGGTCTGCTTGGTCTACAGAG